TTGATGAATAAAAATAGAAATCTTTTTTCTTTTTAGGTTAGGTCTTTCAAATGAATATTAACTCAGTAAACGGATGGGTATGATCCACAAAATTTTATCACTTAAGCAATTATTAAAAAAAAAAATTTCCGTAGCGCCTTTACTTACGCGAATGGGCATTTGCAATTCTTTGAAGCGTATGCATAAAAATAGGCTTTTTTTTTTTTTGTTTTTTTGTTTTTTTTTTATTGGAAGTTGTGCTAGAATAGCTTATAAATGTCTATTTGAATTGAGAATCACCTTGGACAAGATAAATACGATAGGTTCGAATGCCAGCGGACTTGGCGTGTAGAGGATCGATCGCGGCTAACATGGATTTATTATCACAATTGAGCTATAATATTTTTATCAAAGTCCATAGAAGGAACAGAACACGTAGGAACAAATGTATACAGTTTGGCTCTTCTGTCTATTTATAATCGCTTCTTATCGCACACATTTAGCCTGAAAAATTGTACGGCGACTTAGTAAAAATTGACCAAACTATAACATTGGGAAACTAGTGGAAGGGAGGCGGATAGATGCTGGAAGAGTCAATGCCATCATATTTATTTAACTGGAATTGGAAATATCTAATCTTATATGAATTTGTAATACCTTTACAAAATAAACGAACGGCATTTGGTTATTTATTCATGCTAGTTGGATGCTGAGCCTGAATGTGGAATAAAGTTGAACTTACTGAGAATAATACCATTAGAAACATGGCTTCAATAGAACCGCCAAAATCAAAATGACCCTTCAAGTTTGCAATGACCAGAACTTTTAGAAAATGCTGTCTAGTTCGCTATAAGTGTATTTCTAGTACTTATGCATACACAGATCCAACGGACTGCTTTTTTCATGAAATTCTCTGTAAGCGTGTAGAACACTAAAAATGATCGAAGCTTTGGCATTCGCAGTACTAAAGATAACGCAACTATAGTAGACCTTCCCATTATCCAGGTTGTGGTATACTTGATTCAAATTTGCATACAAGTTAGATTATTATCATAAGTGTGGATGGTTTTACGCTTTAGGTTGAAACGTATTCTTCAAGCGTTTTTAAAAATTAGTAAGTTAATGTTTGTCCCCGTTTTCGAAAAACTTAGATTTGTTCAAGCCTAGCAGATTGTCTTTTTGCTACAATTCTTTTAGATATTAAGCGGTTATTAACAATCTGCTGATTGATTATAACAAAACACTACTCTGGTGTGGGTTGTACTATTGAAAAAAATCGTTGCTCATCGTGTTTCGATAAAGTAAAGTGTATTTTCTTAGTATAATTATTTTGTCTGTTTAGCTTGTAATTGCTGAAAAAGAAAAGAAAGATTTGTTGGTGCATGTTGCAGACCAAATAAGCGTATTTATTCTATCAGCAATTACGAGATATAACGTCCCTTGTGGCACATTATCTAGTCGTATTGCAACTGCCGAGTTGGATTGTCCACTAGAAATACTTGCCAAAGTCAAAAAAAACAAAGAGCAGAAGTTGTGACTCTGACGGTGTATCTAAATTATTAAAAAATTGTGCTCGTTTACTTAGAGCCAGAAACCACTACAATGCTGTCCTTCGTATGTTCAAGGGAAATCAGTTAGTACTACATACTTCACCAAGTGAAATTTCGTGAAGTATATTATCGTCACTAGTATCAGTAAACGATTGTAGGCTAAGAAACTGAACAGAGGAACGTGGAACCCCATGAGCCATCGGTGTACTATCTTGACCACTCCTACATCGTGTCGTGCGCCTCTTTCCTACGAAAGTTCAGTAGGCACCTAAGAAGTAAGCTTTTTAGGTTAAATAATTATCATCTAAATGAATAAATGAGAAACTATTAAAAATTAGGTGAGCAATTGTCAGGCAAACATCAACGGAAAGGTAAATAGCGACCGTAAATATCGATCAGGTAAAAACCAACTGAGTAGGCAGGGAAAAACGGCTGGGTCTTTTTGAACAGTTAAGCGTTATCGATTTTTGACAAATGATCTTTTCTGTTGAACGGTCTTTTTCTCGTCATTATTATTATTATTTTTGTTGTTGTTAATAGGCCGAGAATTATAGGATAGAAAACTCAGCAGTAAAAGTAGCGACAGAAGACAGTAACCGATTTGACCCCTGGAGGTCGTCCATTGTGAGCGTTAATAGAACGTCGCTTCAAAAAGTAGGCGGTCGTTTCTACTGATGATTGCAGAATATGTCTGGGTGAGTGGCCCGAATCTAGAAATGGTGGTCGTGCTTTATGGATATGTCACAATCGACCTACATTAAAAATAATCAATAGAATCGAACTGAATGCTAGGCTTATCGGTATATTCGAAGTTTATATAGCTGTGTGAAGAAAAAGATGTTCGCAAAGTGACGATAATTTATATGCCTTATTTACGTAGATTAAGATCACATGAAGGGGCACAAAGCAATAAAAATTAATCCCTCAATGACATTGTTTTTATTTGACAGTTGAACATGCCAGATCAGCCAGGTCTAGGGCCAGTCAAATTTATTAATAAACTTTTATCATTTCCCAAAGAAGATATTTGTGTATGTCAGAGCGGGTTTGAACCGACGATGCCTAGCTACTTCTGCCAGACAGCACCTAACAATATGCCGGCCTAAACCAGATCACTATGTGTAAATTCATGAAAAACCTATTGTTTCGAGTTTTACGTCCAACCTTCCCACAGACAGCCTCTCTCACTCTCTCCGGTATGAAACCTAACTAATCCTTTTATCAATCTACACCTACTTATCTAACCGATCATTAGTTCTCTGCAGCATTTTGACACGATGACTCCTGGCCAACGTTTCAATTCGATCCGAGAACGATTACCTACTTAACGTATATTCACAAATGTTTGATGCTGCAACGAACTGCAAGCATCAACTGTTACGGCGCGGCTTGTAATACAGCAGTTTGTTCGCTTGCTCCTGCTGTAAAATTAGTTAGGACGTTCCCTTTAAATGCTCTATTTCTCAAGGTCTCTCAGTTTACTCCAGACCCGGAATCCTTCAACTGTACTATAAACCCATGCAATGCTATTACATACTGTTGCGCATCTAGCGCTCGAACGTTACGCTCGAAACAACCATTGTTGATCCGAATTCGCGTTAATATTCAACAATAAAAGTAATAACTGATTGTCTAGGGCAGCTCGGTCTTCATTTACCGCATTCAGCCGTAGGAGTGAATGGATCCTGAGGACGCAGGAGATACAACAGCAGCCTAACCTTAACATTTACCGTTGAGTTAGTGAGGATGAATTAAAGGACCGCTTTCTCATAGAGCACAGGTATGGTATTCGAATTATCAAATTATAACTTTGAAGTAACAACAAAATGATCTTGTCCTGGCTGTACACAATCGGCCTTCTAATCGACACGATAGATGCTAGCCACACATAGTCTAATTGTACGGCTAAAGAGTGTCGTCTACTCTAAACAACCGTTTCTCCACCATATATAATAGAACCGATTTTATGAAATACTTGTGACAAAAAAAGGTGCAGCTTTGTAGCAGAAAATTAAAATGCGAAAACTAATTATCAGGCTTGAATTAACGAGAGGCCGTTCTTCTTTCTATATGTCGTTTAGCTAGAGAAAAATCGAAATACTGGCCAGGATGAGTCATGGAGTATGAAAATAAAGGGTTCATAATTTAGCAAATTGCGTTTGAGTTAGTATAGATAAGAATTTCACATCGATCTAATGTAAGATTACATCATTAGAAGAGTTATGGATGTTCTAGCGTTTACGTATGACACGTCTAGCATTTTATTACCTAAATAACGTAGCATAGTTCAATCCAGAACGAAGCAGTTTTTCAGTGATCGCTTCATATTGAAGTTAATTTTTCAGTAAAAACCAAACGACCAAAAAGCACTTTGTAATCTCCTCATTGGTAAGACCTTCCGACTGGGTCGAAAAAGCTGTCTCTGAAAATAAAAACGAATTGAAGAGGTTAGTTGATTTTATGACGCTTGGGTGCTCGTCTGGGGATGCTTGAGTGTTTTGTAGATGTATATGTCACATCAGGGACAAAAGTAAAGTCAAAACATTGTCATCTTGTACAAGACAAGGTTACTCTGAAGCTGATGGCTCACGATAGAGCCTGGCTTTACCATAGAGACTAAACGGTGAGGACTGCGTTCAGCTGCGGATGAGCCCAACTAAGAACATTGCTTCTGTTGTCGTTGTAAAATGACGATTAAGTCGCAGAAGATTTGCCTACCCTATCGATCATACCTACGTCGCGCCTCTATCCACCAATCAGAAACTGCTCTATCGCAGTAGCTCGTTTTCTATATTTTTTCTTCTTCTTCTTCTTTTTCTTTCTTTTTTTTTTTTTTTTTGAAGAATCATCTTTGTTTGTTGTTGTTGCTGCTGCTGCTGCTGCTGCTACCAACAGCGATGCCACAACGATTGCCGATGCGTGTGCCGGTTTGTGTGGTTCAGTAGTTCAGCGTTTTTGCAAACTTTTACGTGACCTCTTCTTAAGGCTCTGCTCGTGCGCGATGTTGCCCCTGACTGGTAGCTCTGCACGCCCATGACTCCACCGTAGAACGGTAATAGCGCTGTAGTATCAGTAGCAGTATGGGGAGGGGGGACGGGGGAGGGGGATGGGGGGCGTAAGATAAGGCATAGTTGTGTTTTGCCCGAAAGCCATAAGCGAGTGTTATGTTTCAGTGGATGTTTATTGGATGTGAACCGTGTCCGCCGTGACACCACCATTGTCGATTGCAGTTTTGCTTGGGCAGTTAGCACTTACTTGAGATGAGCTGGTATATAAGTGATGAAGGTGTTGAACGATCACTCATTCCGATGAACAACCGATAAGGATAACGTTCTAGTGCTCTTTCCATAGACACCTCCGAGAGAGCAGTTACCTCGGTGTTTGTAGAAAATTATATGTAAGTTCACTGACTAAGTAACTTAAGCCAGCTCCGATTGCATAAAGTGCGTTGGATATAGCCATCGTGTACTTCCAGACTGCGAATACGACAGGGTGTTTAGCTAAGTCAAAAGCCTGAAAGAGAAGAGGATTGATAGCCATGCTGAAGTTCGCCATTATGGTATGTTGTGTTCGTAGAGGTTAAATATGTCTATGCAGAAACTGATTTCGCTATCTCACATATGTTTGTTTTTTGCTACCGAATCGAGTACTGCCTATTAAATGATGACCTAAGGCGTATGTTTGTTACCACGGTGATTATTAGTCAAGGAGGTAACATGTCTGATACTTAATTCTCCGAAATCTCTTAAATCGTCCGAGACCATATCTAAGACGCTTACAGCTGATTATTGTTTGCTTCGATTCTGACGGTCAGGAACTTTAGTAGTCTTGACATTTAGTTCTACAGTATACACACGGCACAGTTGTTTATAATACTGTGCCTTATCCTATTCATAAAAATATTAAAAATTATATAATATGTATGTTTTTTTATATATAATATTTTAAGAATTATTATAATTTGTCGCAGTTTTCTGAATTATTATGAAAGATTTCATTATTATTATTATTATTTATCCATCAAATTTGTACGTCGACAAATTCAATCAGTTCCCAATTTTTGTAAAAGAAAAAATAATTTTTAAGTAATATGATTAATATTATTATTATCCATCTATACAGTATAATATCGTAGGCATTGTATTATATGTTGATGATTATCACAGTTATGATATTTCATTCACAGGAGTAGGCTGAAAATGACTGAAACCCACGGAAATCAGATATGGTATTCGTCCATCAGGCATCGAACAATGGTACATAACATACACAGAAATTCTAATCACCTCTAATACATTTTGTTTGTTTGTGTGTGCGTGTGTTTCTTTCTAACAGCAGTTCACTGTTTACCTTGCTCTTCTTGCGCTTGCTCACCGTTCGTGGGCCCAACCGGCTTATGGCTACAGTGAGTATCCTGAGCATAGTGATTTGGATACAGCGGCTCAAGACCACCATGAAGAGCAGCATCGGGAAGACAACGAAACTCCTATGCCATACTCGTTCCAATACAGCGCCAACGATCCTGAAGGATCCCACTCACATTCGGCCACATCTGACGGAAACACTGTCACAGGCGAATACAGCATTCAGCTGGCTGATGGCCGAATGCGGACCGTCAAGTACACAGCTGACGAGAATGGCTACCGAGCCGAAATCGTAACCAATGAATTAGGCACAGAGTCAAAAAATCCTGCTGATGTAATCATCAAATCATCAGCCCCCACAGGGCCAGATGCTGCGTTAGAGGGCTCACCGGCTGCAGTTGCTGCTCCTGCTCCTGCCCCTGCGCCTGCCGAGGTCGAGGCCACCGAGACCCCCGCTGCTAAAACTGACCCTGATGACGCTTCGGCATCTCAGCTGGATCATGTCTTCGTACAGTCGCCAACTGCCTACAACAGCGAGCGTCAGCAAAGACAAAAGTATCGGTACTACGGAAGCAGATACGCTCAGTAGCTGTGGCCGTAAAATAGTTTTTTCCTGTTGAATCAAGGTTTTCGGTACATACCCGAGAAAGCCTCGTTAGCTTTGTGATCTTTGCTCATGCTTGTTTAGGCTAGAATTAAGCATGCAGGTGAATTTGGTATATAGAGTCCTGTACCTAATGCACCGAAACAATCAGTATCGTCATAGCAAATGCGAATAGGATAAACAAAATCCATCATATTCGAATTCTGGGACCCGTAATGCAGCACCGTATGAGGTAATTATTCTACAAGATATTTCGTATTTAAGATAGTAAAATAAGTTATTCAGACGAAACTCATATTCGAGAACTTCTCCGGCCAGAGTTTGTACGGCGCATTGTGTAGCACAGTATGTGCGACAAACACTTGAACGCCATCATATAAAATGCGTCAATCATTCACCGTTTGTCAGCTTTGTTTGTGTACACCTGCCTATCGTGTCCTTCGACTATTGATGGATATGTATGCGTCTTTGTAAACCGCTCGTTCAAACTATTTTCTGTCCACTCGACATTCGTATGTTATTTTCTCTCTCATCTCGAGAAGATATTGTTTGCAGTGTGCCCTCATCCGCGTCAGCCGAAAAAAAAAACCAAAAAAAAAACTTGATTGTGTTATCGGACCTACTTTTCTAGTTAGTTTGTATAACTTTTGAACAGTTAAAATTTCTACATAGAGATGAAAGTTGTCCGAACTATTCGCATACACAGTGCACTAGATGTAGCACTAATACGTGTAACATTAATCTAATATAATAATTTAAGTTGGTTATTTATAGTAGTGACAATTGTGTGCCGGATTATAGCTGGTACGGGTGGCGATCGAATCGCTCACCGTTACAACTATTCTATATAAGCTTTCAGATGTAATTATGTACGATCGAAAGATGGACGTCCGATTATGTACACTAATAATTCGTTAAATAAACCAACGACAGTCATATCTATTGTGCGATTGTTTCTGTCAACATACGTTCTAAGCAATTTTCCTACTTTGCTACCGGCTCAAAGGTTTAGCTAGAAGCGTTATAATCCAACCTTCGAGTCGTTATTTACTAAATATATTCGATGACACAACTGCCCGGTCGCACCCACGCCTATGGCTACATGTAACGAACCTATACCCATGTTGATGTATAAATACTTAGGAAAATATCTTCATTTCACTAAATAGAATAGAATGCATCCTTGCGTTTGGATTGGATTGGACGTATGTTCTGTGAACGGGTGTCAAGTCGGCCAAACTGTCCTATCGTGTCATATGAATACGATATTTGCCAAGAATCTAATTATGACAGATCTCGTTAGGTCTCCATTTGTCAAACGCTTGACAGCTGCAAGTTCTGCTTGCTAAACGCAGAACTGAGTGAGTTTCTTCCAGTCCTGACTGTTTAGCTTGCATTGTCATCCGAAAGAAGTAAAGCTGATTGAATGCCATTTGCATCAGGAACAAGGCTGGTAGGTAATGCTCTGCTGTCAGGACCGTTTTGGGATAACTGCTATTGAATTATCTGTATTCATACTCGTGTGTAGGCTAGGCACGAAAACATGCGCGTATGTAGTACTAAGAACCGGCGATTTCTTGCCCAGCATAAAGCTGTAACGCTTATGATATTTTGCTTTCATGCAGAAAGCTATCTGTTTGTTTTTCTTATTCAGCAAATATTATCGTTATATTCACCGCTGCCTATCGTGTAAATGGTATACATAACTAGTACCGGACTGAAGGGCGTATTTCTGCTTCGTCGGTAGTATCTGTGGATATCCAGGTATGCTTTTGTCTGTGTGTGGATCGGAACATATAAACTACGATTCCCTGTGCCAATACGTGTGTGCGTACGTGTATATCAACGTATGTCGATGTACCCCCTCCGTTAATAACCGACCGGATTAGAAGGTTACAGACGCTGCCTGTTAAACATGCGCAATTCATTTATTACGTTGGCCATAATCCTTTAACGAGATGGATGCATCTTCTTCACGGGACCTTCACTTGGATGCTGCCTTGACAATTTTTGTTTGCACCGGATCATTTTTGCAAGATACTTGTATTCTTTCTGATTGCCCGGTCGTATTGTACATGGGAAGTACTTGCGGCGCGCTGCTACTGCGATTCTGTTTGCCGGTTGAGGACCGCGTCAGCACGAAAAGTTCGACGACGATAGAACGGCAATACGCAAACGCGGGGCGCAACAAAACAACAATTTGAGCAAGTCTTTACAGGCTCGCGTCCTTGGCCAGTCGGGGGTACCACGGAGGTCGATCATATTCCTTAAGAACACATATCACAGTGAGTCACGGAACATTTACCATCGTTACCGCTGGAAGATGTGCTATAGCTGTCTCATTATCTATCTATTCTATCTCTATTATTTGCCTGAAGCCATAAATAAGAGGTTCATTAGTTTAATCTCTCCTTTTTATACTGACTGTTTTTGTTCAAAATGCATAGGCAAATTAATATATCGATGCTTCAGTCTGATCGCAATTAATGTTCGATAGAGTTGCCTATATATATAACACAGATGCGCTTCGTCTGTTCAAGTAACCCCAAATAAAATCAAAAAGCTTAAATCAGTTTTTCTTCGACTCGGAAAACGCATCAAGTGCTTCGAAGCAAGAGACAAACTGTCAGTCAAAGGCCGTATACGCCTGAAGCCCTTATATGTTCTCCTTCCTATTTGAGGTTTGTGCGTGTTGCCAGATTGCCCGTTGTTGTACCTGCCTACTTCGATTTCCCTTATTTCAGACTTCGATCTTTTATACAGTACTCAGCGTACCTTAGTGCAGATAGTTTTCGGGAAAAAAAAACACTCAGACGTTAGAATAAAGAGCACAAAACCATAATGGTCACTATTGCAGATCTTTGCAATCTTTTACCATCATCGTGCTAGTATAAGGTAAACAGCAACAGAATATAGTGCATATTAAGCACACTGTGTTAAGTAAGTGATCACATCATATCGTGTCATCGTAAACATGCCTCGATTCGCTAAATGCCCTTGTCTTTCATATTAGCGGTCACGCACTTCACTCAAACACAGTCAGGCCGCTACAATAGACGGCATCTTTCAATGCTCAACAACAGCTGAGCTCAGACACTGGTTCCGACACTCCGTTCGGCCCAGAGCCATACCACGACGACCCTGGTTGAATCGTTGGGCCAACGTGTTTCGGCAAAATATCCCACCCACCATACCCACAAGCCACAGAGACAGCTTTCAGGAACGCCGTCAAACGTTCAGACGGATGCATCAATAGCAAATCAAGTGATAGATACGGCAATTGTTGTTTCGTAAGTCCGTTCCCACTCAGCGCGTGTGCGTGTGTTACTACGAGTGTTTGTAGTATTAACGAATGGACCCTTGAAGTGTCAGCTGACATCTTTTCTCGTTATTGCTGGCGCGTCGCAGCGGTCATCGCAATTTATACCCGTATTGCGATTATTCCATTCATTGCTCACTCGCTGAACAGTTCAGTACGGCGGTCGTGGCAATCGGGCCTTTCTAAGCGATAGGCAGAAACGGACAGTTTTGTACCAAATCGAAATATAGCTTCTGTTGCTGCATGACTGATCTGCCTTCCAAGCCAGCCTTTACAAATCTCAAATGATTCATGACCCACATAGCCACATGTATATGCATAGTTGCTTGTATAGGAGTGACGCAAGTAAAAAGGGGACCTTTTGTGATATGCAAACATTCATTTTCACTAGAAATTAAAAAATATGTAAATCATTAGAAGCTATACAGCTCATTTTAATAACTCCGTCTCCGCGGGCTCGTTTTGATTGATAATGGCTATGCATTTTCTACGTAAGGATATGCCGAGCGCAGTTTTATGCAGGCATAGTAGAATAGTATCTGAACATAGATCGCATGTATTTAGCTTTAAAAACTGTGAATTTATTAATCTTCAAGTACTCAGATGAAGCTACAGATTAGTTTTATCCTGTTCGAGGTAAAGCTAAAAAACCTTATCTAGTGTCTGGTCTTGACGTATTCCAGTGAAGTATAGAGTACCTGTCGC